GTGTGCCTTGGGTATTAAGTAACATTCAAAAGGTGGAATTAATAAGGGAATGTTTGCTCCAAGCTTAACTATTATAACTTTGCAGCTAGTTTTAAAAACTTCTTTCAATTGTGAGAGCTGTACAAACAGTGCTCCTTTGAGTGACACCTCTGTGGGTTTGATCTTTTCTCTGTCTTCAGGAATCAAATACATCAGTTATAAATTGGAACTCATTTGCACTTTTTCTTTTTCTTTCTCCACGTTTCACAACTTTAATAGCATATTCTAACTATTCTGAACAAATATGCAGTTACAAATGTGTTCCAAGGTTAAGCTGAGCACGCTCCACAGGCCTGGTCAGTGCAACACGCCCATCCCCGGCTGCCAGAGTGTGCCGCCACCCACTCGGAAACCCCATCCGCCAGCCGCCAACCGGTCACACCAAACCCAGGACCTTCAGACAGGATGAATGTTGGGGCCCAGCAATGGAACTACTGAGAAAGCAGGACATGACACTCATATGCTCAACTGAAACGCAGGACTTCCCAGCCCAGCCCCTCACTGTTGAAGACCGCAGAATCCCAGCTTGGCAGCAGGGTGGCGCCTGAGTCCTGGCATCTTCAGCCGGGTGGCAGGGAGCAGCGCTTTTTCCGCACAGGCCTTGCTCCTGCTAGGAAGTGGCACATCTTCCTGCTCAGGTCACCAAGGTGGTTCAGAAATGGTAAAGAGCAGCAACAGTGAAAGACTGCAGTCCTTACAGGCAAGAAGGGCGAAATAAATAGGAGGTGACCCACGGCAGCTCTTGCCTGAGCTGGTGTGCCACAACCCTAACCCACCCCTAAAAAAAAAGAAAATCAAGAAGCACCGTCCTAAGAACGTGACCCTACTCCACACAGCCCTTCTGAGATGATTAGCATCCAACAGGTGACACAGGCTGCACCCGGCAGGCTGGAAACAGCAGAGTCGGTTTCTTCAAATGAAAGGGAAGAAATCAGTCCAAATGCAGGAGTGGTAGGAGAGGTTCTAGGTTCCTGGAACCACATCACCAAAGTTCGGTCCTTTTTGCCAAGTGACCCCTACCCCACGCCAATGTGGTCTCCGGGGCTCTCCCACAGGGAAAGACCCAGGCAAGTCCACAGCTACGGGCACCAAGGCTGCAGAGGATGCTGGATGAAAACTCCCATTTCTGAAACGTATTGTAGTGGTCACTGCACAAGTGAAGCAAAATAATAAGGAAAAAGAAAAAGTGAAAGTGAAAATCTTGCACTTGAAAACCTATCGGATGGAAGCGCTGTCGATGCGGCAAGGATCGAGGCCCCGCCCACAGGCCTGGAGTCCCCGCAGCGACAGCGACATTGGGTAGGCCAGGCGCCTGCCTTCGCTTCCTGCTGCTGCCTGCATTGCGCCCGCTAGCTGGATTCCTTCTTGGGATTAATTCCCTCATCGTCCTCATCTTCTCCCCGCTTGTCACCTTCTAACACCTCCTCTTTTCACCTTCTTCAAGACTGTCCTCATCCTCTATGTATGGTGTCCCCAGTGAAGTACAGCACAGCCCATGGGACTATCGATTGGCTCACAGAAAAAGTGTCCATTTCAGAGGCTAATGTGAATCCAGAACCTTCATGCAGTGATTCTCCATCCCCGGATGCTTTCACTGGATTGAAGAAGTTGAAAAATGATTCATTGGGTACTTGCTTTGTAATTGTTCTAACAGTGCCTCGACGCTTATGTTTCTGCTTTTTCTTGACAGTTTGGACAGTAACATGCTTTCCTTCCTTCCAGCAATACTACACCCGTCACAGTCCACGATCTCAGGACATTGGAAGGAAAAGGGATCGGCCTTATCTGGTTCTGATTTCATTTTGCAGGTTTCTGTCAGGGCTGAGTTGGTGAAGTAGTCATTGGGTTCAAAGCGGAACTCTCACACAAAAGACAGGCTGTCCAGGGTCAGAAAACTTTACTTGAATATCCTGCGGGTGTTTGAAGATTAGTTCATCATATTCCTGGACTAATTCACTTAGCATAGCTACATTTCTAAAGACGGCAAACCAGAACTCTAGAACGCCTTTGGGATTTGGCTCTTCAGCTGTTACTGCTGCTGCTTCTGTTAGGACTGCTTTGTCTTTCATGTCTCCTACCAATGTCTCTTCCTCTTCATTTTCACTGTGCCATTCTGATTCCGCATCTGGCGGTTCAACATCACGGATGATAAATTCTCTTCCCTTGTCAAAGGGAGACTGTTATAATGCTGCACTTTCTTTCCAAGTCACGAACTTCTTCATAGAACTTGGCTTCTATAAGGGCACATCTCACCTGAAATTGTTTCAATGCATTAATTCTTCTTTTTACTGCTTTGGGTAAACTTTCGACGTAGCTGGAAGGGACATCGTCGAGTCTCTCCTGTAAAGCTGCCCAAACTCAAGGATTCTGCAGCACATGATCTGTGAGTTTTTCTGTATTACTTGCATTTTTAGCTGCTTCCACGGAATCTGAAGGAACCGCATCTGAAAAGCTGTTATCCACCATCTGAATGTCTTTATCGCCTTGGCTGGCAAACCAAGTCCCGTTAAGTAATTAGTCCAGGCTCACTCAGGCCAGTCCTCTGGGGCGCACACCGCCCATCTCTCTCACACCTCACAGCTCCCAACAACTAAGAAGCAACACCAAGAACGTTCTTCCCCTTCAGACATGCCCTCGGCCATACGAAACTTAAAATCAAAACCCCAGTTAGCCCAGCCTGCCCCACAGGGGCGCATGTTGACTATGGCCCCACGTAAAAACTCAAATTCCTAAACATCTAATAAAGAGGTCCTGGATGTCTCCACCTTAAAGACGGGAAGCCTTTTGGGAGGCTGAGACAGGTGGATCATTTAGGATCAGGAGTCAGTCAAAAAAAACCAAAAACCAAAACCAAAAACTGGAAGCCTGGCCGCTCCGGGCACGCCCGGCCGTGTAACCACCACGCCCTGGCACTAGGCAGGCTGGGCGAGCCGGAGTTTCCAGCGGTCAAGGCCTCTTCCCGCCTTCTCCTTCGCGTCTGCGCCTCCTTTGCGGGGCTGCCCAGGAAGCGGCCTGCGGCGCAGAACAAAGCATCCCGACCTTCCGGGCTGCAAGCGGCCGGGCGGGGCGCACCGGGGCCTGGGAGGGGCCGCCCGCCAGCATCTCAGGCCGGGGCTCCAAGCCCCTGGCCTGCCGCTGCCCGCCTTGACGAGGAAGACGTTCTTTTTCTTGAAAAATGTTGGCTCACGTCTGTAATCCTAGCATTTTGGGAAGCCGAGGTGGGTGGATCACCTGAGGTCAGTAGTTCAAGACCAGCCTGGCCATCATGCTGAAACCCCACCTTTAAAAAAGAAAGAAAGAAGAGAGAGAGAGAGAGAGAGAGAGAGAGAGAGAGAGAGAGAGAGAGAGGAAGGAAGGAAGGAAGGAAGGAAGGAAGGAAGGAAGGAAGGAAGGAAGGAAAGAAAGAAAAAGAAAGAAAGAAAGAAAGAAAGAAAGAAAGAAAGAAAGAAAGAAAGAAAGAAAGAAAGAAAGAAAGAAAAATGTGTTTCCTGCCTTGAACTCCCGACCTCAGGTGATTCGCCCGCCTTGGCCTCCAAAGTGCTTGGATTACAGGCGTGAGCCACCATGCCCAGCCAAAGACCTGGAGCCAACCCAAATGCCCATCGATGACAGACTGGACAGGGAAAATGTGGCACATATACACCATGGAATATTATGCAGCCATCAAAAACGATGAGTTCGTTTCCTTTGTAGGGGCATGGATGAACCTGGAAACCATCATTCTCAGCAAACTGACACAAGAACGGAAAATCAAACACCGCATGTTCTCACTGACAGGCGGGTGTTGAACAATGAGAACACATGGACACAGGGAGGGGAACATCACACACTGGGGTCTGTTGGGGGAAAATAGGGGAGAGACAGCAGGGGGTGGGGAGTTGGGAGAGACAGCATGGGGAGAAATGACTGAAAGAGGTGAAGGGGAGGAAGGCAGCAAATCACGCTGCCACGTGTGTACCTATGCAACAATCTCGCATGTTCTTCACATGTACCCCAAAACCTAAAATGCAATTAAAAAAAAGAAAAAGAAAAATGTGTTTCCTTTCCCAAGAAGTTACTCTGCTTTGTCTGAAAATAATATAACTTGAACGGCTTTAAGTTACTGTTTGAAATGGTCAGAAAAGACAGTAAATGGAAGACTTAGAATGGCTCACCAGTTAAAATCCAAGTTTCTTATGTTTCTTGTATTTACTGATTTCCCTTATCTGTTTCAGCTGTTTGTTCAGAAAAATTTCATTCATAGACTTACCTTCCCAACCCAAGAGACTCATATTCTCTATTTGCCCTGGAATCCTGTTCACTATTTACAATTATATTATTCTGAATATAGTATTTACTATTTTCATCTCTTCTTTTATATTTTAGTAAACTACTTTCAAGTTACTGATCTTTTGGTTTGTTAAACTGGGGATGTAATGTAAAAAAACAGGTAATACAAATTGCAAATGTAAGTAATAGTAAAATGACATTAGAAAATCACAGCCAAGACAGAGTCACTGAGTGTTAGGCCTAAGGAAACAGATCAAATGCATGCTCCTGTAGCAGATATGCAACCTTTGAGAACATAATCATTATTAAGAATATTATAAAGCGGCATTGTGAATAGTTAAAACCATGGGCTCTAGAGCTGGATAGCCTCTATTCAAAACCAGGTTCTACCACTTACTAGCTGTTGACCTTGGGCAAACAACTTAAACTCTCTGTTGGTTTCTCACTAGGAAATAGGGATAAATACTAGTATACAACTTATAGGTTGTATGAGGATTGATATAAGATTGAATTAACACATGTATTAGAATTTTGCTCAATACAGAAAGGGCTAAATAATGTTAGCTTTATATGTATAATAGGGTTTCTGTTAAAAATTGTAACTCATTTTACATTTCAAAATTGTGAACCTTATGTTAGTTACCACATCTGTGGTTGGAAAGCCTCCATGACACATTTAGTTATTTACTCACCACTGTTTGGGACACAGGTTTCCAAAACGATCGATGATGTTTTATTAACTAATGGATTGCTAGCAGTACACTGTATTGTCTGTGGAAGATCATCTTCCAGCTTAAAATATACTTTGGTTGAGTTATGTTTGCACTGCTCCATAGGACAATCCCATGAGTACACTGTAAGTTCTGGATGGCTGTTATAATGCTCTGATATCTTGCAAAGGACTTCAATGCTTCCATTAGTCAATGCACAAGTTGCTCTAGGAGACGGAAGAGGCTCTGGAAAAATAAAAAGTATAATATTTAGTACAGAAAATAGTAAGGTTTAGACACAACATCTGCAAATGTATGAAGAGCTCCCAACGTCCTTACGAGCTTGAAACGATGAGCAAACTCCTTGAGCATCAGGGGATGAGAATTCTTTCTTTTGCTAGGTCAGACCTACCTGTTCTAATTTAACAGAAGAAACGCAGACCCTGATATGGCTTGGCTCTGTGTCCCCACCCAAATCTCATCTTGAATTATAATCCCCATGTGTGAAGGAAGGCACCTGGTGGGAGGTGATTGTACCGTGGGGGCGGTTTCCCCATGCTATTCTGGTGATAGTGAGTGAGTTCTCATGACAGCTGTTGGTTTAAAAGCGTGTGGCAGTTCTTTCTGTCTCCTGCTGCTTTGTTAAAAAAGTGCTTGCTTCTCCTCTGCCTTCCATCATGATTGTAAGTTTCCTGAGGCCTCCCCAGCCATGTGGAACTGTGAGTTAATTAAACTTCTTTTCTTTATAAATTACCCAATCTCGGGCAGTTCTTTATAGCAGTGTGAAAACAGATCAATACAGGCCCCAAATCCTTTATCCTCAATTCTGAAATCAAAAAAGCTCTGAAGCCAAAAGAGTCTTCACAAGTTGGTAGCAAAATCATTTAGCTGCAAATCCTGACCTGACCTGAATTAACACAATGACTTACAGTCTTTTTTTTTTTTTTTTAATTCAGTCTCTGTAGAGACTGTCAAAAATTGCCAATGCCAACTATATTTCAAGTCGTCATGGAAGTGTATTGGGAAAAGTTTTCAATTAGCAATAATCACGCCTCGGGTAAACCATATTGGCTACGATACTGCCACTGCGCAAAGCTGACTTACAGTCTTTATTTTCTCACTTACTTCAAATATTCATTATCGTTTCACCACAAAAATATTCCTGTGCTTGGCAGGACACAGGGGCTCATGGCTATAATCCCAGCACTTTGGGAGGCTGAAGCAGGAGGATGGCTTGAGGCCAGGAGTTCGAGAACAGGCTGGGCAACATAGTGAGGCCCTTCCTTTATAAAAAGTTCAAAGATTATCCAGGTATGATGGCTCCTGCCTGTAGTCTTAGCTACTTGGGACTACTTAAACCAAATAGCTTGAAGCTGCAGTGAGTTATGATTGTGCCACTGCACTCTAGCTCACTGCACACAGGGAGCTATGATTACATCAGGCTGAAACCTTGTCTCTAAATATACAGGAATGAAATAAATACTTGTTCCTATGCTTGACCCACAGGATACTCCCCATAATTAAGTGGGGTGCCTAATATGCAGAGGAAATACCTTGTATTACCTTTCCTAAACATAAAATAATAATTTCAATTCTATAACACATCTGACTCAAAGCATTTTGTGAAAGGTTCTGGTAGAGCTACACAGAGCCTTGCTGGGTCCTGCCTATTGGTTGGGCTGGCCCTGCTAATAGGCAGAGTGGGGTGCAGCATGTGTCGCAGACCTGCCTGTTCAGAGGCCACGCTCCCAGCCTTCCTCTAGGAAGCGCCTCCTATTGGCTAGGGCAGCCTGGACCTACAAGGATGAGTTAAGAGGCTAACATGTCACATTCGGCCACTGTTGCCCTTTAAAAGCCTCAAGGCTAATTACATTGTCCTATTAGTCACTTATTTGTTAATGTATATGCCTTCTTGCATCTCAGCTACCCTCCAGCAATTAATCATAAGAGGCTTGAGGAAATAGGCAAAAACATATGTAGTATACAACAATAGTCATGGTAGCACTGGGACAATAAAGTATTGATATATCAAAAACGTCGACTAAAAAGAGCATTTAAATAAATTAAGATTCACCACGATAATGGAATACTATGTTGTCATTTAAAATGAGGTTTTCTAAAACAAATTAATGCTTATGCTCCAATTATAATCTGAAAAATAAAAGTGTTTAATCATTCCCCCATCTTCTTCTCTTCCTGAATTCCTTCTCGCTCAGATAAATACTGTACCCAGGCTGCCTTGGTAGAGACCAGAGTCATACACTGACTTCCCTTTCTTCTTGGGGCTTTCTCAGCTTTTAAGATTAATCTAGCTCACATAACTCTTTACATACTTCCTTAAGGTTTTATTTAACTTAAAAAGACATTGAATCATCTTTTTAGCAGAGGAATTTCTCCGAATTAAATCTTCAGTTGCAATCCAATCCAATGGGTAAGAAGCTGCTCTAGCTGACTCAGAATTGAAAGCCTAGAGCCCTGCTCCCCTAATTTCCTCTGGTCCCTTTTGCCCACCCCAGGGACTTCCAAAAAACTCCATGCATACCAATAGTTCAAAAATGCCTGTTCTCAGTATTTCATAGACTTAGGCCTGCCTCTGTCACTAGGCTGGGCACTTCTCAGGGGAAGAAAACCAAGCTTTCTCCTTCCTTAGAAATGGTCCTTCAAAGCATTTCTCAAATTTTAATGTGCCTAAGAACCACCAAGGGTTCTTGTTAAAAACACAGATTCCCGAGCCCCACCATCCCAGGTGCTTCTGATATGTGTGACCCATTTGTTCTGTTACAGATTCTAATATATTGATCTAGCTCCACCAATGTCTAGTCTATCATGCAGCACTGTCTGAACTGAACAGAGGTGCATCATCAGCCCCAGAGATGGTGCATCTTTGGAGCATAAAGACTGGGTACGACTCACGTTTTAACCACTGCACCTGACATAATACAAGGCACATGGCTCCTCACAAGCAGTATTGGAAAGATGGGGAGACAGATGTATAGAAGGATTGATTCAGAGACAGTCTTCAAACAAAATGTAAATTATTCTACCAGCTACCTCCAAAGAGGAATAGGATGGTGCTTACATGGACTCAGAAGCCCAACTGCCTGGGTTCATATCCCAGCTTCGCGACTAAGAGCCATATGACATTGGGCAAGTTACTTAAATCATCTTGTGTCTAGGTTTCCTCCTATCTACAATAAGGACACAAATAGTACTTACTCTATCAGACTGCAATGAAATTAAATGAGTTAATACAGATAATAATCAATATATGAATTAACATGTAGTATCTACACAGAGTAAGAGCTTAACAAATGGTAGCTGTAATAGAGCACATGGCCATTGGCTGAGAGTTTCCAACTCCAGGAAGCCAAGGCTCCCCAAGGGGTATGTGAGATGATGAGAAGAATCACTGACCAGGAGCTGGGAGGTTTGATCAAGCCTCAGCCTTGGCCTGCTACGTGACCTTGGGCCACAGTCCTTTTAGGAGCTGAAAGACTTTTAAGAAAGCATCCATTCAGGCTTCTTGTTCGACAAACAGAGAAACTGACTCCTAAACTATCTTTGTTTTGTTTTTGTTTTTGTTTTGCTATAAAGACGTACCCGATCCTAAACTATCTTATTTTCATCTGTGAAACGGAATGCTTTATCAGGTCATTGTAAAGGTCAAACAGAATATAATTGAGTGCCACATGCGGGGTTCATAAAAAAGAAAAAAAACAGCATATGAAAGTAACTTGAGGGGAAACATTAAACGGGGTTAGTATTACCTTTTTTTTTTTTTTTTTTTTTTGAGATGAAGTCTTGCTCTGTCATCAGGCTGGAGTGCAGAGGTGCAATCTCAGCTCACTGCAATCTCTGCCTCCTGGGTTCAAGTGACTCCCTTGCCTCAGCCTCCTGAGTAGCCGGGACTACAGGCATGCACCACCATGCCAGGCTAATTTTTTGTATCTTTTTTTTTTTTTTTTTTTTTTTTTGAGACGGAGTTTCGCTCTTGTTACCCAGCCTGGAGTGCAATGGCACGATCTCGGCTCACCGCAACCTCCGCCTCCTGGGTTCAGGCAATTCTCCTGTCTCAGCCTCCTGAGTAGCTGGGATTACAGGCATGCACCACCATGCCCAGCTAATTTTTTGTATTTTTAGTAGAGACGGGGTTTCACCTTGTTGACCAAGGTTGGTCTCGATCTCTTGATCTTGTGATCCACCCGCCTCGGCCTCCCAAAGTGCTGGGATTACAGGCTTGAGCCACCGCGCCCGGCCAATTTTTTGTATCTTAGTAGAGACAGGGTTTCACCATGTTGGCCAGGATGGTCTCAGTCTCCTAAATCTCGTGATTCACTTGCCTCGGCCTCCCAAAGTGCTGGGATTATAGGTGTGAACCACCGTGCCCGGCCTGGTATTATCTTCTAAGTTGCTAGAACTCCCTTGACTATATAGAAGTTCTTTCTGGCTGTCTCATTATACAACAGTTGCCAGATGACAAACGTAGACGTGCCTATCCAACTCATCTAAAAGTGTGCAAGCCTTTTTTCAATGCCTAGATCTGAGTTTCTACACCTCAGATCTTTTCTTCTGTAAATCTTTCACATTCTTACTGAGACTTACCACAGCTGTATCTAACAACTATTGGTTACACATCTACCTTAAGCATCATTAAACTGGCAAGAAATGTGCCTACTTCCTCTCTAAGACAATTAGTCAATTTATAAGTAATGAATCGAGTTCAGTATTGTGTAAGAAAATGAGAATTTCTTACATATATCTGATGATATTTTATAGAAATATGTGTATATTTTCATGAATTTTAGTAAAGGTCAAGTACCAATCCAGCCCAGTTAAGGACAGGGCAGTCAATTCTACTTACATAAAAATCGTCGTCTGAGATGGGATGAAGATCCATAAAAAGATGGGAAAGGACTAATAAACATCAGAAGTAGAAATTCTAAGGGGACTTTTGGGTATAGAGGAAAGCCAGATGTCAATGAACACACAGAAGGAAGCAGATGCCCTGAATTTAAGAAGTGCCAGGAAATCCCCCTGTCCAAAATACACTTGCTGAAAGTCTCCTATTAGGTTTGGTGTCTCCATAAGATTACTAAGTTACTAAAACAAATGTTAACATTACCCCAAGGAAGTATGACTTCCTCATTTCTTAAAAAAAAAAAAAGTATGACCAGTCATTTTATCATGCAGGTGTGAAACCTAGAGTCATCTTATGTCTTTTTACAACCAAAACCTACATCTTGCACTCTTTCTTGGACCCGCTATCTACCTGGATGATCACAGTAGCTTCTAATGTGGCATCTCCTCTCTAATCCATTGTAAGTGTGCACCATCACATCAATCTTCCAAAAATGTATCTTATCTAGTCACCTCCTTGCTCCATATAGGATACAATGGCTCCCCACTGCTACAAGCGGATGTCTAGACTGTCAAACCAGGACTTTAAGTCCCACACTGAAAACTATCAATGTCACTGCCTCCTGATCAAAACTCACCTCTGCAGCCTTCCTAAGGTCTATCCAGTCGGTCTGACCACCAAAACCATACCTTTGCTGAGTTGCCATGGAATATTTTATTTTATTATTTATTTATTTATTTATTTTGAGGCAGGGTCTTGCTCTGTCACCTAAGCTGGAGTAATCACCACCTAAGCGGTGCAATCATGGCTCACTGCAGCCTCAACCTCCTGGGCTCAAGGGATCCTCTCACCTCAGCCTCCTGAGTAGCTGGGGCTATAGGCACGCACCATCATGCCTGGTTATTTTTTTTATTTTTGTAGAGATGGGGTCTTGCTATGTTGCCTAGGCTGGTCTTGAACTCCTGGGCTTAAGCAACCCTCCCTCCTCGGCCTCTCAAAGTGCTAAGATTACAGGCTTGAGCCACAACGCCCGGCCCAGAATATTTTAAATTAAATTATTTTAAAACATTTCATCAAGTTTAAAAGGAGAAACGTATTTTAAATGTTTTTAACTTAGTTTTACAAACTCCATAGAAAGGGTTCTGGGTCAGGTCTCACACAGCCTTGCAGGTCACTTTCCGCATTTTAGCTTTAACAGAGTCAGATGGGGCCACTGGCAAGTTCTACACAGATGAGTGACATGATCTGATTTCTGTTTTAAAAAGATCACCCTGGATCGAGACCATCCTGGTCAACAATGGTGAAACCCCGTCTCTACTAAAAAAGAAAAAAAAAATACAAAAAATTAGCTGGGCATGGTGGCACGTGCCTGTAATCCCAGCTACTCAGGAGGCTGAGGCAGGAGAATTGCCTGAACCCAGGAGGTGGAGGTTGCGGTGAGCCGAGATTGCGCCATTGCACTCCAGCCTGGGTAACGAGCGAAACTCCGTCTCAAAAAAAAAAAAAAAAAAAAAAAAAATCACCCTGGTAGAACCAATACAACTACAACTTCCTGGTGCAGTGACTGTGGAGTTCAAGAAAAAGAGGTATGAAGGATGACATCAAGGTTTCAGACTGACCAACTAAAGGATGGAGCTGCCATTAACCAAAAGGGAAAAGATTTGGGGAGGAGCAGGTTTTAAGGAGAAGATAATGGACTGACTTTTGGACATATGATATTTGAAAGGCCGATTAGATATCTGAGTGGAGATGTAGAGTAGGCAGCCAGGTATACATATAAGGAGCCTGGGGACAGTGGGTAGGGGTGGCTGTGGGCAAGAGCTCTCAATCTGTGCATTATGAGCAATGAGATGATATTTAAAGTCCTGACATGGGATGAGCTCACCCACTGGCTGTGAATGCAGGAAGAAAAGGAAAGAGACCCAAAGCTTAAGCCTTGATGTTTCCAGTGTGAGGAGATTGGGGAAATGAGTAAAGTATCAAAACAAACTGAAAAGGAATAGTCACTGTTTGAGAAAAAAACATGAGGCCTGGCGCGGTGGCTCACACCTGTAATCCCAGCACTTTGGGAGGGCGAGGCAGGTGGATCACCTGAGGTCAGGAGTTTGAGACCAGCCTGACCAACATGGTGAAACCCTGTCTCTACTAAAAATACCAAATTAGCCAGGCATGGTGGTGCATGCCTGCAATCTCAGCTATTCGGGAGGCTGAGACAGGAGAATTACTTGAACCCAGGAGGCGGAGGTTGCAGTGAGCCAAGATTGCACTCCAGACTGGGCAACAAGAGTGAAACCCCCTCTCAAAAAAAAAAAAAGAAAGAAAGAAAGAAAAGAAAGAAACATGAATAAGGTGGTATCCTGAACATCAAGTGAAGACAGCACTTAGAGGAGGGAGTGATCAGCCATGTCAAAAGCTGCTGAGAAGTCCAGAATGACAAGGACTGAGAATGGACCACTGGATTTATTAACAAGGAGGTCCAGAGGAGATGTGGCATAGCAGCACAGACAAAAGCCTATATGGAGTGGGTTAAAAGTAAACATGAGGGGTCAGAATAAGTGAATATGGACAATTTCTTCAAAGAGATTTTTCTATAAAGTGAAGATAGTGAGCGGGTGGTGGTTGCTGGAGGGGTAGAGGGATCATGAGAAAGTTTGCATGACAGCATGTGTGTATGCAGTTGAAAATAAATCATCAACTTATGGGGGAAATCCTCATCAGGAGAGAGTGGGTGGAAGCACTAGGGTGATATTCCCGAGGATGTCCAGAGGAGGTGGGACCCAGGGCATGTGCAGAAGCTTTAACCTCAGGTGAGAACTCAGAAAGTCCATCATACCAGGAGAGAAAGCATGGCTTACAGGCTCAGGTACGGGTAAGAAGGTAGGCAGGTGGTAAGAGCTTGTGGAAATCACCCTCTGATTGCTTATTTTCCTCCGTGATATATGAAGCAAAGCCTTCAGCTGAAGAGTGGGTCTAGAGAAGGAAGTATTCAAGGTTTGAGGACAGAAAAAGTAACTGCTAGGAGAGTAGGTAAGTGACAGGCTAAAAAAAAATACCAGACTTCGTTGAGTTAAGTGATTAGAAATGAAAAGTGCAGGACTTTGCAGGGTGGTGTATTTTTCTGCAACCACATGGGTGTGAGCACAGAATAGGCAAAGCACCAGATTTAACCCTGTTGTAATCTGGCTATGTGAGTACGACAAGCCAACAAAGAAGCAAGGAACCTAAGTGTGTCTGCAACGGACTGAGTCCAGTGAGTGACGGCAGTACTCAGGCTGAGGAGGGCAGCAGGGACATCAGGTGTGTGAAGGACGGTCAGCATCAGCATCATCAAAGACGGCATGGTGGTCCAAGTGCAACTCCTGACATTGAGATAAGGATGAGTTCTCAGTTATATCCACGGGGAGTGGGTAACACACAGGACGAAATCCTTACAGGAAAGGAGATCAAGGACAATATTAGAAAGAATTTTAATTTAAATACTGCAACCACCAATACAGCAGGAATGTCAGAAACAATGAAAATGAGGAAGGACTTAAAATGACCAAGAAACAGTGGCATGTGAGGCAGGGACCTATAGAAGACTGCAACACAAAAGGGTCTTTAGAGACCAGGGAGGAGCATTAGTGAGAAGCAGGGAGAAATGTGTCCTTTATCTCTAGTTTCAGATTAAAACAGTGCAGGAGCCAGGTGCGGTGGCTCACGCCTGTAATCCCAGCACTTTGGGAGGCCAAGGCAGGTAGATCACCTGAGTTCAGGAGTTTGAGACCAGCCTGCCCAACATAGTGAAACCCTGTCTCTACTAAAATACAAAAAGTAGCTGGGCATGTTGGTGTGCAGCTGTAACACCAGCTACTCAGGAGGCTGAGACAGTAGAATTGCTTGAAACTGGGAGGTGGAGGCTGTAGTGAACCAGGATCGTGCCACTGCATTCCAGCCTTGGTAACAGAGTGAGACTCCTTCTCAAAATAAATTAGCTAATTAACTAAAATGGTGCAGGAGGAAAAACAATCTCCCCACTGTGTGGGGAAGCAGGAACTTTACACAGTGACATCTGTCAGTGGAGACCAAAGAGCTCTAAGCTAACTGCTGTCACTACATCTCTGCAGAATGTTCCAGCAAGACCAACTGATACTGTTCCCCCCACCTTGGTTAGATTCTCCCCTCGCCCAGAGGATGACAAAGGAATTGAAAGTAGCTAGCTCCTCTATACCAGAAAAGGAGAAAACTCTGACAACAGGTAACATTGAATTATTATATTTCTCCTAGACCATTCATTTGTGTTAGTCTCTGAAAACAGACTAAATACGTGGAAATTTGCCATTTTAAACAACTCAACTTATGGAATACTCACCAAGCACATAAAGAGAGAACGTCTTGGTGCCGGTAATATTTGGCGATTCCATTTCATACTTGTCTTCATCTGATGATGTTAAGTTGAAGATAGTGAGGTCACCCGACACAAGGTCTAAATTAATCCTATTTGTGAAAGGTGAGAAAGCTCTGAGTTCAGAATTTTCCCATTCTGCAACTTTATCCTTCTGTTTTTTCCATAGGATCTCGTTTAAAGGCACAGTGCTTGCTACGCTGAAAGTTACATTCTCATGTACAATGCCATAAACTCGTTGGGAACCACAACTGATGAAACCTAGGAGGGAAAAAACATGTTTAGAAAAGACAACATGACTAGTGGCAGAAATTATTCATCAGGTAGTTTTTGTGCTGAGCCAATAAACTGCTGACGGGAAGTAAGAACGTGTTTGACTATGTAGAACTTACTCTTTCATAGAAAACTGCGACCTACATAAATCCAAGAAATGGACTCAGCGTTCATGAAGCACCAACCATGTGCCAGGTACTACGGGCCGTGCTGGGAATGTGGGGCTGTTCCAGGCCCTCCAGGAGCCCCACTTGTGGAGAAGACAGGGGGCAGGCTCTCCACCAGGGGCTGCACAAGGGGAGCTGCCTGGTCTAGGGCTTCCCCAAGGAAGTCATGCTGGAACTGACACAATGTGCAAATCACTGAAGGATGAAAGGCAGGTAGGCCACAGGGCTGGGTAGGTGAGTAGGTGGGGAGTGGAAGGAGAGATGATCAGACGGATACTGGAAGCAGCACCTCCAGAGGAAGGCCCTGAATCGAGAAAGAGGTTGGTGTGCTTGAGGAAACACGTGTGATTCCTAGCGGCTAGAATGAGGAGGGCAAGGGGTGGCTGTGGGGGAACAAGACAGATCAAGGCCAGCCCATAGCCTCTGCGTGGCAAAGTCAGTGATGCTAAGGGTTTGGACTGATCCGAACGGAGAGGAAGCTACAGGAAGGTTTTACCAAGACTAATCTAACGTGATTTAAGTGTCAGCAGCTGACTGTCTTCAGAGTAGAGAGCGGCTGGTAGGAGCCAGCACGGAGGCAGGGAAATCGGAATGAAAGTCGATGCTGTGGCAATGAAGGCCATGGACAGGGCAGACCAGACCAGGGTGTTTGTGGTGGGGACGGACAAGGGGACAGACTCAGGAGATGCAGGAGAGAGAAGTCCACAGGATTCAGTGATGACGGTGGCGGAAGTGGATGGGACTGTTAGGTGTCTTTCTTGGCTGACTGAGAGGTGTCATTCACTGAGATCAGAAACAATGGCTGGGAAGCGAGTTGGGGGTGTGATGAAGATTAAGAACCTTAATTAGGTTCTTCATTGGGTACAGTGGTGTGTTGGAGCTAGGCCCACCTGCCCTGATGAGCCAACTGTTAGCATCTCTGCCCAGACCTATTAGGGGACGCCTGGTGACAGCATAGAAACTGACCAAAGCTTCACATCAGAAACTTCCCTTCCCCTCCGAGCAGTCTAGTTGTTAAACATTTATTAGAACCACAAGATTGAGGTATTTTTGGTTTAAATGCATCTTGTTCTAAGACTTGACTCTTGTTAAGAGAGAACAGCAGCAGCTGGGCACCGTGGTTCATGCCTGTAATCCCAGCACTTTGGGAGGCCAAGGTGGGCAGATCGCTTGAGTTCAGGAGTTCAAGACCAACCTGAGTGAAATGGCAAAACCCCATCTTTACAAAAAATTAGCTGGGCATGGTCGCACACACCTGTGGTCCCAGCTACTTGGGAGGCTGAGGCTGAGGAGGATCCCTTGAACCCGTGAGGCAGAGATTGCAGTGAGCTGTGATTGTGCCACTGCACTCCAGCCTGGGTGACAGAGGGAGACCTGTCTCAACAAACAAGCAAACAAAAAACCGCAGCCATTTTAAGTTAACATTAAAGATTAATTAAAATTTGACTGAAGTTTTTGCCTAGTAGCAATTAGGTAACTGAAAGAATACGGGAGAAATCCAGAACACTGAATGACCAGTTGTGGACAGCTGTGTGAGTAATTTCAGAAAAGAAGCACATATCAGCCATTTGTTTATTTGCAAGCACTTTTTAGAACCTAGCTCCCTTAATTAAGGGGACTACCCTCAAAAACATGCCGGCATCTTTCCGTTGCTTTGATGATTATGCATTATTTCACCCACTCAACAGAGTATGTGGGAAGGCACACAAAAAAGAGCCGAATTTGAGGGGTAAGAGTCTACCACATACAACAGTGGGGGCTCAAAAATGCCTTATAAATGTAAACGAAACAATGAGTGACAGAGGGTAGGGTGGTGGTGAAAGAGTAGGTATGAGATAAACTGCCATACCCTGGCAGCATGAAGACGGCTTTTGTCTTTCCCAGGGAGAGCTGATGTTTCCTGGGCTTGAGAACAGTGGAAGAAAGTAGTCAGAAATGGAGCTCGTGGTGGAGGGAAGTGAGGGTACAGAAAGCGGAGACTGCAGCTCAGAAGAAATCAAAGTGCAGTTGACCCTTGAACAACACAGGTTTGAGCTGCGTGGGTCCACTTCGATGTAAATTTTCTTCTTCCTCTGCCATCGCTGAGACACCAAGGCCAACCCCTCCTCCCGCTTAGCCATAACATCAAGATAATGAGGATAATTTGATGATCCAATTTCACTTAGTAACTATAGTCTCTTCCTTATGCTCTTCTTTTTTCTTCTTAATTTTTAGTTTATTACTATTATCTCAATAGTTTTGGGGGAAAAGATGATGTTTGGTTACATGGATAAGTTCTTTTCTTGTGTGGATAAGTTATTTAGATGTGACGTCTGAGATGTTGGTGCACCCGTCACCCAAGTAGTATACACTGTACCCAGTGTGTAGTCTTTTATCCTTCATCGCTGTCCCACCCTTCCCCGCAAGTTCTCAAAGTTTATCGTATCGTTCTTACGTCTCTGTGTCTTCACAGCTTAGCTCCCACTTGTAAGTGAGAACATATGTTTGGTTTTCCATTCCAGAGCAACTTCATGTAGAATGACAGTCTTCAATTCCAACCAGGTAGCTGTGAATGCCATTATTTTGTTTGTTTTTATGGCATATTCCATGATATATATATATATATATATACACACACACACCACATTTCCTTTTTCCACTCATTGATTGGTGGGCATTTATGCTGATTCCATAGTTTTGCAATTGCGAGTTGTGCCACTATAAAGATGTTGTGTGCAAGTGTCTTTTTCGTAAAATTACTTCTTTTCCTCTGGGTAGATACCCAGTAGTGGGATTGCTGGATCAGATGGTAGTTCTACTCTGAGTTCTTTAAGAAATCGCCATAGTGATTGTACTAGTTTACATTCCCACCAACAGTGTAAAAGTGTTTCCTTTTCACCACATCCACGCCGACATCTATGACTTTTTATTTTTTAGTTATGGCCACTCTTGCAGGAGTAAGGTGGTATCACATTGTGGTTTTGGTTTGCATTTCCCCGATCATTAGTGATGTTGAGCATTTTTTCATATGTTTGTTGGCCATTTGTATATCTTCTTGTGAGATTCGTCTATTCATGTCCTTAGCCCACTTTTTGATGAGATTGTGTGGTTTTTTGCTGATTTGTTTGAGTTCCTTGTAGATTCTGGATATTAGTCCTTTGCCAGATGCACAGTTTGTGAATATCTTCTTCCACTTTGTGGGTTGTGTGTTTACTCTGCTGATTGTCTCTGCTGCTGTGCAGAAGCTTTTAAATTTAATTAAGTCCCATCTATTTATCTTTGTTTTTGTTGCATTTGTTTTTGAGTTCTTGGTCATAACCCTTTTGCCTAAGCCAAAGGCTACAAGAGTTTTTCTGATGTTATCTTCTAGAATGTTTATGGCTTCAGGTCTTAGATTTCAGTCTTTGATCCATCTTGAGTTGATTTTTATATAAGGTGAAAGATGAAGATCCAGTTTCATTCTTCTACACCTTATGCTTTTCTTAATAAGTTCTTTTTCTAGCTTACTTTAGTGTAAGAATACAACATATAATGCATATAACATAGAAAATATGTGTTGTTTATGTTATTGGTAAGGCTTCTGGTAGGCTATTAGCAGTTGAGATTTTGGAAGTGGAGAGTTATACATAAATTTTTGATTGCTCAAGGGGTCGGTGCCCCTAACTGCCATGTTGTTCAAGGGTCAACTATAATTTTAAATTGGAAGAAACTCTAAAAATTATTCAGTCAGATTACTCCCATTGCACTGGTGAAGTGAAAAGACACCAAGAAAAATAAAAGGCGGTTTTATTGAATGCTTACTCTCTCCGGTTATACGTTCACATCATCTTGTGTCCCTTTTTATCCCTCTCCACAGCTATATGCAGTAGGTGTTGTTAATCCCATTTTACAGGTGGGGAAGCAGGCTCCAAGAGGCACGTACATCATCTTGCTCCATGTCTCTCGGCAAGTTTATGGCAGCACAATGACCAGAACACACATCGTCTGACTCCTTGGTCAGTGCCCCTTTCGGAACAACGTAGTCCCACATTCAGGATGGGATTCATTTATTCATTCATTCAGGAAATATTCATTGGGCATCTATTCTAAGCAAGATCCTTGAGAACAAGACAGACACAGTCCCTTCCTTCTTAGAATGACACAATACCCGACTGCAACTATACCTGCTGCTAAGTTAAAGCATCAGGTGTCAGTAGGAATATTTACTTAGAGAATCAACAAGGGGTTAGGGAAGGCAGTTCCCTTCCCTAAAAGAAGTTCTGGGGCACAAGCAGCAGTTAACTATGCCCAGGAGAGCAGGGCTGGTCCCCATCAAGAGAACAATTATGAAGACTTGGAAGCAGAAGGAGTAATGCCAAGAGAAAAGTAGCATGAGCTGGGCTGCATACACAAGCAGAGCCAGCCTTGCGGACCATCAGACAAACACAATTCTGGTACTGAAGTTAAGAAAGCCACAGAAGAGTTATAAACAGGGTGGTGACAAAATAAGAGAAACTCTTTCTTGAAAAAAAAGTATTTAAAAATATAAAGGATACATAGACACATACATACAATTTTATACTAATGAAAAACGATCATATAAGTATCTTTTCAGTCCTCTTGTCTGGGTGCCTTACCCCCTTTTTTTTTAACCCCATAACAATCTGCAGTTCTATAATCTACATTAACAAATCAGAATACATCTTTTGGTATTTTTCTCCCTGCTCATATAGTCAAATAGAGACAAATATATACCACATATAATGCATCTGTACAGGCGTATCTTGAAGATACTGTGTGTTTGGTTCCAGACAACAGCAATCATGTGAATATCAGCGTAAAGTAAGTCGCACAAATTTTCTG